AATACACCAGGTGAATTGGTCACACCGAACGACATTACATAATACTTATAGTGACCATAGCTCGTTCTAAAAGCAGTCTTCTGAATATCTTCAGCTTTCACACGAATATGATGATATCCAGACCTCAAATCAATCTTACTAAACACACTTGCACCAACCAACTGATACATCAAATCATTAATCCTAGGAAGCGGATACTTATTCTTAATAGTCACCTCGTTCAATTGTCTATAATCTACGCATAACCTCATAGAACATTCCTTCTTCTTAACCAACAAAACAAGTGCACCCCACAGTGACACACTCAGACAAATAAACCTCTTCTCAAGCAAATCCTCAAGTTGACTCTTCAACTCTTTCAATCCAGATGCTGACATCCGATTCAGAGCCATCGATACTGGACTAGTTCCAGGAACTAAGTCGATCATAAACTCCATTTCACGCTCTGGCGGCAAATCACAAACATCTTTAGGAAATACCTCAAGAAAATTGCAAACTATCGGTAATTCACCAATCGTTCCTTTCCCATTTATTTCCATTGTTGCCATAAAATCCAACAACACAACACCATCTTGCAAAGACTCATTCACTTGCTTAGCAAACATAAACAAATATCTCTCAAAAATAGAATCAAGAAAGATAGTCGTTTTATCAAAACAATTGATATAAACATGATTGAATTCTAACCAATTCATCCCAAGATTAACATCAAGTTGATCTAACGGAAGACACACTAAATCAACTCCAAAGTTTTTACCAAAAATACTCAACGGATAATTCAAACACACATATGAAGTAGATACCAAACCCATAGTAGGAGTATCAATAACCATACTTCCATTTATAACAGATAACTCGAGATTAAACCTCTTAACACAATCCAAATAAATGAAAGAATGTGTCACACCAATATCAATAATAGCAATCAAAGGTGTACCATTAATAAAACATGTACCTCAGATTAGCTTATCCTCAACAGCAGTCTTAGAACCAGATAATGCAAACACTTTTCCTTTTGCTTGCTCCTTATTTGGTTTGTCACATCTGGTAATAACACGCCCTTGCTCACTACAGTTGTAACAACTCACATTCGCACCACCTCTACAGTCACTAGCTTTGTGACCCAACTTGCCACACTTGTAACACTTTGCTTCATCACTTGGATATTCAGAAACACGATGTCCTTCAACATCACACCTATAACACTTAACCAGAGTAGGAACTACTCCCCTACTCGGCTTCCTGTCATAACCAGCTTTCTGTTTCCCCTTATCATTAGGAGACACACAAGGCTTCCCATAGAATTGACATTTCCCCTTCTTATCATTCAAAGACTTATAGTAGGCAGCATTTTCCCTACTATCCTCATCATAAATCCTACTCTTGTTAACCAGCTCAAAATTTTTAGTAATCTACTAATACCCCATGGCCTTCTTGATTTCAGGTCTCAAGCCATTCACAAACTTAATACACTTAGATTTCTCAATATTAGTAGTGTTGTAATGAGGAAATAACTTAATCAGCTCCTCAAACTTTGCAACATACTCTGCAACAGTACCATTACCCTGATTCAGCTCAAGAAATTCAATCTCTTTCTTGCCACACACATCTTCAGGGAAATACTTCTCAAGGAATGCATTCCTAAAAAGTGCCCAAATAACCTAAATCCCATCATCATCAAATCTTTGAACTGTGTTATTCCACCAATCCTTCGCTTCCTTCTCAAGCATATGAGTACCAAATTGCACCCTCTATGCATCAAAACAATTCATGACCCGAAATATATTCTAAATCTCTTTCAACTAAATCTGCACCTTGTCAGGTTCATGAGCTCCTTCAAAGATTGACAGATTGTTCATGTAGAACTTCCCCAAATCATAAAATTCATCATCTTCATTCTGGTTACCAACATTGGCGTGTGGCTGTTGCCCAATCGCACCGACAAACAATGTCAGTGCCTCAGGAATGGCATCATCATTCCTTCTGGCAACCATCATCCTAAGATTCCAAAACAACCAACAACACTCATCAGACAAACAATACCGATTGTGTCATATACACAAATCAAATACAACAGGAAATAAACAAATTAATAACCTGGCCAATCTGACCGACCATTGCTCTGATACCACTATTGTAACACCCTCTAACCCCACATAAATACATATGACATAATCAGAGTAAAATCATGCATATCCCAAGAGGGCATCACAAATACGTCATGAAACGACAACTAAAACATGCATACTGGTCATGATCATAACACGTATTTAAATTCATGTTTCATAGACCAACACAAAATGCATCTCGCATTGGAATAATTATCTCTTCATAAAGATATTAATGATTGAAATTCCATACTGACAATCATATCATAAAGTACTAGGCATTGAGGCCAATCATCATATAATCTCATTCATTACCAAATAAAGAGAGTAATAACAAATATCTCTCAAGATAAATTAAAACATGAGTTCAAATATCCCTCATGTTACATAGACCAGAGAAATGACTCACTACCTGAGAATAAGTAGATAAATAAGGACCTAGCTCCACCAACTAATGCTTGCAAGAAGCATCACTATATTCGGTACCTGAGCGATATCGTATAAAAATATTATTCCAACATAAGGGTGAGAATTCATAATCATTATAGGAAAGTATAATAATAATTAATGTTCAATGTACATACAACAAATGGATTCATCACACTTCACATAATCATGTAGTCGACATACTATAATCCAACATACATATTAACATATACAACATAACTCATCCGTTTATATTCTAATTGAAACCAATCACAATTCCCATAATTGTATTCAAGTAATTCTATTATCACATATCACACATCAAGACACGACATTCAACTTCGACACATGTGACTCGGATGCAACTCTATGCAATATGCATGTGGTATCAAACGTTCCAGATCTCTTCACAAGACCAGAACCACCAAATATGAACATATAGTTCAAATTATTCCAGATCCCCACCATAGGACCTGAATCACCAAGCAGGCATCAGCCTCCCATGAATTCATGTGCAAAACAACTAATATATGCAATTAAGACCATCCCAAATCTTAATCATACAAGCATATCTCACATAATTCAACATATTTGAATTATCTTCACCAATTTGCACACATGCATACATCACAAAATTAATCCCATACAACACATACTCATGGTATTTATCACATTAATACACCACAATAACATATAGAAATCAAAGCCAATCCATGTTACTCTCATTCATCACCAATTCATAACATTGATAAGTGCAAATTATAGCTATTTTTGTATATACTTTTTATTGCACTTATCGACATTTTGTTGTTAATATCGTTGAATAAATCCTACTTTTGTGTAAATACGTTTAGTTTGTGTTTATTTGTGTTTTTGTGTACATATGATACCGTTTGATATTTTTCCATTCATTTTATAGGTATTGATGCATATTTGGAGTATGAGCAATAAAGTATCGAAGACACAACTTCTAACGCGCGATTTTGAGCAACTCGTCAATGAATAAGGCTCAAAATCAAATAATAAAAAACCATCAATTTGGTTTATATTGTTCCGACAGGCTGCTCTTTCAACACTAGCAGATATTGCTCTGATGTGTCGAATGCCTTTTGAGGGTTACATGGAAAGAGTATTACCACATGTCTTTCCCCGGTTAATTGATCCTAAAGAGGTTGTTAGGCAACCGTGTTCAACAACATTAAAAATTGTTAGCAAAACTTATAATATTGATTCTCTCTTACATGTATTGTCTCTTGCCGCACTTACTGAAGCTGACGTGCCTTATGGTATTGAAATTTTTGACTCAGTGTTGAAGCTTCTGTGGATGAGTAAGTCACTATGGAAGCATTATTACTTGTTTATTAGAGATTTTGTCCCATTTGTTGCAGGCGTGTTGATTAAATCTTGTAAGAACCAAATGATAGTGCTCACATGGAAGTTATAATGTGTGCCATGGTTTCTTGCAATAATGAGATATCACAGTTTAAGAGTGAAGCTGATAGTTGGGATATTTAACTCATTATTTCTTCCTCAAAAAGTAAACAAAGATTATTGTCAGATGTTGGAAATATTGAGTTCAGACGCGGAGTATATTGTGACACTTACTACATTTTTGGTGTATCAAGAGAATTTTACACATTGCATTGAAGAAGGTTCAAAAACTCTTGAACAAATTTCAGCAATGAACTTTTGTTCTCCTTGTTTCAAAGGGTTTACTATTGTTCAGAACAACTTTCAAACTATTTGATGAACATAATGTTCACAAGACACCTATTGAGTATGCTATTTATGATGAGATAGAATGGTTGATAGCTTGGGTTAGTAATGTTTTTTTGTAAGAAAATATCGACATTAACTTTATTATTATACTAATTTTAGAACTTTGAGGATAATGTTCAAGTGAATCTGACAACAATAATAGAAGGGTATTATAGAATTTATATTATTAAATTAGTAGTGTTATTGATAGAGGTAATAATATTAATATGGTTATTGAAGTTTATTTATTTTTGGATATTTTAGTTAATGACCTATTAGTATCATTATATATGCCGTATCTTTGACATATTTTAGTATATGAAATGAATGAAAAACTATTTTATCCTTTTTATTTTATTTAATCGATTTAATGATATTTCCCGTAGAAATCCCTATTTCCTAACTTTTTGATATGAAACTTCCTATCACAATCTTCATTAAACTCTTAAAATATATTTATTCATTTCGAATATGGATGGAGAATATCCTTTTTAATACCAAATCAAAATTTAACAAATATTTTCCTTTTAAATACGAAAAAATTTAAAAAAATTCCATTTCAAAATACATCCAAATTTGGACCCAATAATAATCACTCCCAAACGCGTGTCTATAAAACCGAAACCCTGACTCTCACTTCCATTTCATCACCACCCTCACATCAAACAACCAAAACCGTTTCGCAAATTCCAACCTCCCAGATCCGCCATGGCATCCTCCAAAGAAACCTTCGTCTACACCGCCAAGCTCGCCGAACAAGCCGAACGCTACGAAGGTTACATTTCTTAACCTTTCTATTTTCGTTTCGATTTCTCTCAATTTTACGCTGATTCGTTCCTTATTATTTATTATTCCTATTCCTCCGTTCAGAAATGGTTGAAGCGATGAAGAATGTCGCTAAGCTTGACGTTGAATTGACGGTGGAAGAGCGGAATCTTCTGTCTGTTGCGTATAAGAATGTTGTGGGAGGACGTAGGGCCTCGTGGAGGATTCTTTCCTCGATTGAGCAAAGGGAGGAGACGAAAGGGAATGAGGTGAATGTGAATCGGATTAAGGAGTATAGGAAGAAGGTTGAATCGGAGTTGTCTGATATCTGTACTGATATCATGGCTGTGATTGATGAACATCTTATTCCGAATTCGTCTGGTGAATCGAATGTGTTTTACTACAAAATGTAAGGGATTCTGATTTTGATTTTGATTCTCTGTTGAGTTTTGAATGTTGTTGATTTGGTTTATATTTCATTGGATCGTAGGAAAGGTGACTATTATCGTTATTTGGCTGAGTTTAAGAGTGGGGATGACAGGAAAGAGGCTGCTGATCAGTCCTTGAAAGCATATCAGGTATGCTGTCACACATGTTGCCTATATTATAGGAATCACGGACACCGGACACAACATGTTGACACCGGTAATACTTTAAAAAATTGAACTTAATCACAAGAGTCTGTGTCTAACACAGACACAGTCATGCTTTTTTTTGGAGGTGTCGGTGCATAAGGTGGTGTAAAATTTCTCTTGAATGTTATGTTGTTCTGTGTGATTCAAAAGGTCATCAAGTTTGTAACCTTTATGTGTGTGCTTAATCATGCTTGAATTTGACTCCTTTACAATCATATCCATTTTGACTTAAATATATGCAATATATGTTTGAATTCCTTTCTTATGCAAAGCATTCCACAGGGCATGCTGTATCAATATGCTTTTTGAATCACTAATGAATTTTTTTGTTTACTCTAATAATTTTCCATCGAATTATGTCATTTGTGTAAAGCATTTGTTATTCGCTAAAACTTATAAAAGGATGTATTGTAATGTGTAATGTTTGATTGTATAAATTACTTCAGCTTCAATCTTACTGTGTTTCTTACTTATAAGATTTGTGTGCATGAATTCATTAGTGTTAAATAGTATAATACTCACTTTATAGTGGTTACTGTAATGATTCTTAACTGTAAAAATGTGCTTGTTATGGATTGAAAGATGAAGGGAGATGCTAGACGATAGTGACACAGTTGTGGTTAGTCTTAAGGCATGACATTGTTTAGTATGCCTTCTCTTTATCTCAAGATGGGTCTGTTATTGGTACAAGAGGTGTGACCTCATTTACTTGAAAACATCCCCCATTGTATCAGAGAGAAGGCCAGATTTTCTGTTGAGTTTCAAGAGTGGTTTACACATGTTCATGCTAATATTGACTCTTAATATTCGTACATGAAAATAATTGCAGGAAGCTTCCACTGCTGCAGAGACCGAGTTGCCTCCCACTCATCCTGTCAGATTGGGTTTGGCTTTGAACTTCTCTGTCTTCTATTATGAAATCTTGAACTCTCCTGAAAGGTATATCTAACATTACCTACTTACTATAACATCACTAATTTGTCTTGTTTTCATGCTAGGTCAGTCTTTTAAAACTGTTTTAACAATGTTACTCTTTTGTATTTCAGGGCCTGTCACCTTGCCAAGCAGGCATTTGATGTAGCAATTGCTGAGTTGGATTCTCTCAATGAGGAATCTTACAAAGACAGCACACTGATCATGCAGCTTCTGAGGGACAACCTGACATTGTGGACTTCTGATATTCCTGAGGAAGGAGGTGGAAACTAGTCTTCTCCTATAACTTTACTAATTTGATATGAAGAGGGTGTGAAATATATATGAAATGCTTGATTTTAGATTATTAGCGTTTGATATTTTCTTTAGTCAGATAGGAGTATGTGTTGGTTACATGCCTGTTTCAGATTGTTCTCTCTTTCTTCATGTGATTGTTAGTTCTTAATAGAATAAGGTGTCCTTCCACTTTCATGATAGAGATTCCAACTTATTTTTGCATTAGAACAAAATCCAATGGAAGATTTAATAATCAGGCTTAGAGAGCTAGATCTTGTTGTGTTCCACGAAACAAGATTGTAGCAGGGTGGTTGAAGCAGTGGCTAGCCACCTCCCAGACTCGTCTGTTTAGACCAGATTGGAGTTGCAGCTGTCGCAGCTGCCTCTGTGTCTTGGATTTCCCTTTTGCTTTGCATCTTGGGTGCTGGGATAGGAGTGCCACATTGTTGTTGTCGAGAAAACCTAGAAGCATCTGAGTCAATATAGGGGCTATTTAGGGGTTTTGCACATTAAAAAACCTATTTTCTCTCTTCTCATCTGTGCAACCTTCTCTTTTCTCTGCTTTTTCTTCATAACCTCTGAACTGTGAATCATAACTGCCAGCTGTCATCGTCCCAATCCCTTTCTTTTCCAATATCAGTGGTTCTAGCCACTGCCAGCAGTCATTGTTCCTACCCTTGCCTTACCAGCTTCTTCACATACCAATAGCTATGACAAATCCTGCCCCCAATCCCAGTTTTAGGGTCAAACAGCAGCCAAAGTATGTTCAAAATATATTACCACCCCGCCGCACCTGCAATTGTGCAATCCCAGTTTTAGGGTCGGCCGCTTCTCTTTAATCCGAGATTGACAACATCGATAAGTGAAGCCTGTGTGTTGAAGTGACAGATAAGAAATTTGACCTCACTGTAGAGCATTTTCAATTGTCGAATTACTTCTTCATTCTTATAATAATTGAAGTCAACCAAATATATGGGAACCAAGCACCAACTCGTAGGTTTATGATCCTCATTGCTTCACTGAATCTTATGGTGTTGTTGATAATAGTGATAATTATTTTAGTGGGAATTGTTTAATTTTAGCAGGTTATTAGGATTGAGTTACTGAGTTTTTTAATTAACAATTGAGGTTTTATGTATATTTAACTGCAACTTGATTGGATTATAGCTATGGAATATCTTCATTAACTTCTGGCATTAGGTTTTAGTGGTGGTATAGTTTGTCTCTAGTGTTTCTTTTTGAATTAAATTATTTTAGAAATTTTCTAGCTTTTCTATGTTTCAGTAAGTTATGTAAAGAACTTTTTCTATATTTGTGTAAACACACACTGATATCTTAAGCCATTTAAGTGATTTGCTCTAGTCATCTATCTTCTTCCGGCTAGCTAGGGAAAAAGAAACAATCTTTTGTCTGAAAGATGAAAGTCTACTATGCCTCAATTTTGCCATTGTTACTTTCCTTTCAAACTTACCTCTTTCCTATGTATTGTTATTTTCTCATTGAACAGTGAACACTAAATTATTTGCTTTTAGGCCCTTTAACCTTTCTATATTCCTGAAGTTCCTCCGTTTTTTTACAGTTGAGGAACAAAAGGCGGAGTCTGCCAGAGCTCCTGTAGGAGATAATGCAGAGGTACGTAATTGACTCACATGTGAGATTGTCTTCTGGTTTTACTTGTACCTCAACAAAGTTATATTTTCATGCAGTAAAGTGACAGGTTTTAAAAGGGGTTTTGTGGTGTGATGTGTGAATACAAAAGATTAGCCTCCATGCAAGTTCTGGTGGTTTTCTCTTTCCATGTTTTCTAGTTCTAGGAAGTTTATAGCTGATTGAAGAGTTAGTGAGTCTCTAGGAAAATTATAAATCCTAAGCTCCTCTTCATTTGACAATGGAATACTTCATAGTCAATGTTGCTTTAGGTTCTGTTTTAGCTATTGATAAAAAAAGAGGATCTGTTTTAGCTACAGGAAACAATAGATCCATGGTTGGCTGTAATTTCGTTGGTGCTCTGGTTTTACTTATGCACTATTCAAAATGATGCCTTGTAGATTCTTTCCTCTCCTTTACAATGAAATAGTTTTTATTTTAAAACCATAATCGCAATTCCCTTACACCACTATCTTGAAGAGATGTATGTGAATAGGGTTATAAAATTACGATTCGAAAAACAAAAATGATTTACTTATTGCTCTTTTCAAATTTCTTCCATGAATTTATTTTGATGTCGATTCAACATGTGTTTGCATTAGATTATGAGTCCTATCAAATGGAGTTTTGGCAAAAGAAAAAAAGTTTTTGATATGGTCACTACGGTTATAATGTTTTGCACAAAACTGATACGAGCTTATAAAACACTTGCGAGTTAAAAAGGAAAATAGTTAAAATTGTAGTGCAAGCTATAACCATATTTTTCCAAAATAGACCATTAGGATGAAAGTAATGGATTCTATAAAGTTATTTCCTTGCAAATCATCTCAGACTAACAAGCCATCAAAATACTTGAGAAATCAGACTCGTCATTTGTCTAGTTTCAACAATCTTTCTAGTTTTGAGAATAATAACAAATCTTATATGATTCATTTAACAGAGATAGGGAAATTACACTCATTTAGTTAAAATTACATCGATACTATAAAATAGATGACGGTTTTGAGACTATAAAAAAAATGGACCTTAGTAATTTTCCCTTTAATTTAATTTTATAAAAGGTAAGAACTGACAACACCATAGTAAAAACAAATTAAGCTTATTTTAAAAATATTTATGTTTGAACAATTCCTCCCCCTTTAAAACAAGAAATAAACAAAGTAAAAATCACGGTACTTATGAGTTATTTAAACCCTTTTTTTTTCTTTCATTTTTTATATAACCAAAGAATAAAATGTCGTTATTAAATAATATCATCATCATAATTAAGATATCATTTTTCAATGACTAGAAACAAAATTATTTTTTTAATAAGAAATTACTTAGTCACTCATATTAAGCTCTGAGAGCTTGTTTAAGTTTATAAAGATATTTCTTAATTTTAAATACATACTCTAGATGGATTGTATTCTCAAATCTAGATGGTTGTTTGACATACACTTCTTTAGAAATTACACAATTTAAAAATGCACTTTTAACATCCATTTAATGTAGAGTGATATTGTGATTAATAACATAAGAGTAATTTGATTACCTCTAACCTTACAATAAGTGGAAAGGTTTCAGAGAAATCAATACCTTCTTGTTGACTTTAGCTTTGAGCTACAAGTCTAGCTTTATTTCTTACCACTTCACCTTGTTCATTGAGCTTGTTCCTAAGGATCCATTTTGTTTCAATAATGTTCTTCTGATGAAGTTTGGATACCAGATCCCAAACATTATTCCTTTGAAATTGATTCAACTCTTCTTGCATAGCCACAATCCAGCCATCATCAGATAATGCTTAATCAACATAAGTAGGTTCAATCATAGATATGAGTCCTAGCATTGAGTGTTCTTCTCTGAAGTCAGATCTTGCCTCTAGAGGTCTATCTTTATTTTTAATGATTAACTTTTTTGGATGTGAATACTTGTACTTGAAGGTCTTCTTGAATTATGTTACTTCTTGTGAGTCATCATGAGCTTTTTCAGAAGCTTCTTCACCTGGATGAGCTTTAGATTTTGAATGAGCTTCTGAACCACACAAGCTTCTAAAGATTTGGTAGCTTATGAACCGCCGATTTCTAAAGTGTCTTATGATACATAAATTTTTGAAAAAATTTCAACTAGCTCTGACATTTTATTGTTATGCTCTTTGTCATCAAATTTTACGTGTATTGACTCTTCAACCTTTTTGATTTCAGACTTATCCACTCTGTATGTTTTTGAGCGTTCAAAGTATTCTAAGAAGATACCTTTTTGAACTTTGACATCAAATTTCTTTAGATAAACTTTGTTGTTTAAAATGTAATATTTATATCCGTACTGATGAAAATAAAAACTACTTGACTTTCTTCCTTTGAAAATCTTATATGAAGTTTTGTTCATAATATGTCTAATATAAATTTTGTTTTGAACATAACATATTTCTGTCCATAAGTACTTAGGTAAATTATTTCCATGAATCATGGTTTTAGTCATTTCTTTTAAAGATATGTTATTTCTCTCTACAACTTCATTTTGTTATGGGATTCTAGGAGAAGAGAACTTATAAAAATTCCATGTTTTTCATAAAAGATTTCAAATGGCTCATTTTCAAATTTTCCTCTATAATCACTTCTGACTTATAAATTTTTTTATTCCTTTACATTTTATACTTGTATATAGAAGGTGCTAAACACAACATATGACTGATCTTTAATTATAAGAGATTTGACCCAAATCCATACGTTATAGTCATTAACTAAAAATTATCTATATTTCTTCTCATTAATTTGAAGAATTAACATGTCATCCATAAAATTATACATGTCACCCTTCATTTTTCTAAATGTCAAAAATGCCTATGAACAAATTAGAAGGTGGCGAAGAATAAAATTTCCGGTAAAAATCCAAGATTTTGATAGTGCATTATAAATTTCCGGTAAAATTTTTTCAAAGTTTTCAAAATTTTCAATTTTCGATAATTTTTCGAAGTTTTCGATATTTTTTTCCAAAAATTCCAAAAAATTTAATATTTTTAAAAAATTTTCGACACCCCTCAAAATTTCCAGTAAAAACTCATCTTTTTAAAAATTAAATATGTTAAACAAGGATATAATAATAAAAACAGAATATAAGAGTAACATATTAATTCTTCCATTTTTGATGCAATATTAACTGTGCCAAATTATATCTTACCATGGTAAATGAATTTTAGTTAATATTATATATAAAGTTGATTTATACGTCGGAGACAAAGCTATCCGTAAGAGTGGTACGTGGGTATGTGCCCCCACTAAAAATTGAATTGTAATATAACGTAACTGGACAATTGCATAAAGTTTGTTTATGATGGTGTATATTTTATAAAGAATGCAATGTTTCTATTTAAATTTAACCAATATGTTTTGTAATTTCAGTTTCAACGATAGGCAAAGTTGGATCAAACCATATACCATATTGCAGTATAGGTTATAATTAAATTATAATATATTATTCATATTAGTAAGAGTAAAATTGGTTGCTAAAGTGAAATAGTATTGTAAATAAATTTTCAAATATATCTTATCATATAAATATTTATAGAAATATTTTATTAATAATAGGATAAAATTGTATAATATTAAAATATAATTGAATCTATAAGTAAAATAATTATAAAAGGACCACTCATATTAATTAGATTTATTTTTAATATTATATATATATATATATATATATATATATATATATATATATATATATATATATATATATATATATATATATATATATATATATATATATATATATATATATATATATATATATATATATATATATATATATATATATATATATATATATATATATATATTGCCTGCACACTATAAAATTTATGCCTTCGTCTCTGAATATATTTCATAATTTAATTAATGATTTCTTAAATATAAAAAATATTAAATAATAAAATAAAATTGACTAATCGAATATAAAAGTTAATTAATATATTTATATACTGTTAGAATAAGATTAATAGAATATATTTCATTGATTAATGAAATATTAAAATTGATTAATAAATTTTAAGTAAAATAATTGATTAATAACGTATATTTTTGTAGTTAATATAATTGTAAAGTTGTTTATATATAATTTTATATTTATGTTATAAAATAAAAAAATTTAAAAATATTTATTTTTTTAAAAATATATTTTTTAGAAATAATATAATTTTATTTAAAAAATATTGTTTACCATATAAATACGTTATAAATATTGATATAAGAAAGGGATGTCTAGATAGCAAACTTGTTTTAGATATTAACTTATATTATATTACCTTTCATATAAAATTAATTGTATTATACTAAATTTAATTCAAACTATATTTCATATAAATTACATTCATATTAACTTAACTCATAGTACATTTCATACAAATTTCGATCAATTATGTTACTTAACAATATATATATATATATATATATATATATATATATATATATATATATATATATATATATATATATATATATATATATATATATATATATATATATATATATATATATATATATATATATATATATATATATATATATATATATATATATATATATATATATATATATATATATATATATATATATATATATATATATATATATATATATATATATATATATATATATATATATATATTATGTTTGCTATATATTATGATTTAATTAAATTTTATGTTTTAATATATATTATGTTTAATTATATATAAATATTTATTGTGTTTTAAAGAAACATATTGGTCTGTTTTTATAAAATATATGTTATTCTATTTTTTCTTTTTTTTAATTAAAGGAAGATTGTATTAATTCAAAAAGCAAAAGAATATTAAGTGATCGCATATAGGGGTGGTAAATGGGTATGTCCATTCCGTTTAGATCCGTCCTATAAAAGTCTGTAAGAAAATAGGACGGGGCTGACATAGTTGAGGATAAGAGCCTAAAATTTAAGTTTGTCCCACAAAAAGTGAGTGGAAGGCAGGGAAAGCCCGCGGGCACTACACATTTTAGGCTTAAAAATGTAAAATTTTATGCTAATAATTATGCCTGCAAAAGTCCGC